TACAGGTGTGCAGCACCACACCCAGCTACTTTTTGTATTTTTAGTAGAGACGGTGGTTCATCATGTTGGCCAGGCTGGTCTCGAACTCCTGACCTCAAGTGATCCACCTGCCTAAGCCTCCCAAAGTGCTGGGATTACTGGCATGAGCCACCAGGCATGGCCATTTGTCTGTTTTTAGTCTTTTTCTTTGTGTGTGGATTACTCATATGTATTGAATTATTTGACTGAAAGTATTCTAATCTGTTTAAAATATATTACCTCTTTTAACTCTCATACCAATCCTTACAAGGGGGGTATTACTAATTTATTTATTACTTTGTTCTAGAAGTTAATATTATCCCTGTTTTATACATGGGGCAACAGAAGGTTAACAGAAGGCAAGTGACTTGCCCCAAATATGTGGTTAGAAAGTAGCAAGAAGAAGGATTTGAAGACAATCTCCTAATTCCTAGTCCAAGATGCTTTCTACCATACCTTGTCCCCCTGTATCTGGAGGTCATACAATCCTGCAGAAGGGAATGAGCTTGTTCTGACATGATTCATACTTGGTGAACCCATGAGGCTTCTGAAAATCATCACTTTTTTCCTATACTTTTGAACCATCTTTTCAGTAGAGAGATCTAACATCTTTTGTTGGTTGCAGAATTATCCTCTGGCCTCTTTTGAAGGCATTCAGAATCTTGAGGAAAGTGAAATCTGAGCACTGTCAGGATTTAGAGAGAAAACAGACATTGGAGGAAGATGAGGTAGGATTTTTAAAAATCAGCATGTCTGGCCAGGCATGGTGGCTCAAGCCAGTAATCCCAGCTCTTTGGGAGGCCGAGGTGGACGGATCACCTCAGGTAAGAACTTCAAGACCAGTCTGGTCAACATGGCGAAACCCCGTCTCTACTGAAACTACAAAAATTAGCCAGGTGTGGTGGCGGGCACCAGTAATCCTAGCTACTTGGGAGGCTGGGGCAGGAGAATCACTTGAACCTGGGAGGCGGAGGTTGCTGTGAGCTAAGATCACACCATTGCACTCCAGCCTCGGCGATAGAACAAGACTCTGTCCCAAAAAAAAAAAAAAAAAAAAAGAAAGGAAAAGAAAAGAAAAGAAAAGGTTTGCACAATTGCACCACTGAAGGAATATAGAGTACATCTTCCAAAGCAACCACTGCATAGGAAACAATATCATTTGGATGCGTAAGTTTTGGGGAACTTGTATAAAAATTACTCAGGCTACACTATAGTCTTTGAAATGTCTTGGCAAGAGATAGGCCTATTCTCCCCGCCCCTTTTTTTTTTTTTTGTCGTTGTTGTTAAGTTCAATTTAACCAAAATTGTTAAGGTGTACTAGTGTCTGGTGTCTTAATGACAGCATAAAAGTGTTAAAACATTATACTGGCCCTTTTCAGTTGTTTTTTTGTTTTTGTTTTTGTTTTGAGACGGAGTCTTGCTCTGTCGCCCAGGCTGGAGTGCAGTGGCCAGATCTCGGCTCACTGCAAGCTCCGCCTCCTGGATTCACGCCATTCTCCTGCCTCAGCCTCCCAAGTAGCTGGGACTACAGGCACCCGCCACCTCGCCCGGCTAGTTTTTTCTATTTTTTAGTAGAGACGGGGTTTCACCCGGTTAGCCAGGATGGTCTCGATCTCCTGACCTCGTGATCCGCCCGTCTCGGCCTCCCAAAGTGCTAGGATTACAGGCTTGAGCCACTGCGCCCGGCCCCTTTTCAGTTTTAATCTATTTTTAAGACTGCTGACATTTCCTTTCAGGAGTTAAAATACCACCTTTCAATGTGGGTTTCAAGCATGAGTCAAAAATACTCTTAGGTTTAGTAGAGCCTGCCAATAGCTTTACTTTCCCTAGACCATCCAGATAACAGGCCAAAGATGCTTCATGACTTGGGGATGAATGGTATTCGAATTCCAACCACAAAAGGCTCTCTCTAAGGAGACCTACTCCAGAAGCATTAGTGCACTTCACTGGCTTGGTCTGTGTAAATGCTCATCATATTTAGAGTCTACACCAGAATGTGGTATCAGACTGGCTCTGTTTCATAAACATCCAAGTCTGACCTCTCAAACCCTGACAAATAGAACCTGACCCCTGGCTATCATGACTTTCTTTATAATGGCAGAGCCCAGTCAATGTGTTTGTAAGAAAGTTAAAGGAAAAAAAAGTTTTGATGGTCTTAATTGTTATTTAAATAACTCAATATATTCTGTTTACAAGGTTTTATCAAAACATTAAACATTGCAATTTTTTTTTCTGACTTTTAAGTTCAGGGGTGTATGTGCAGAATGTGCAGATTTGTTACATAAGTAAACGTGTGCCATGGTGGTTTACTGCCCAGCTCATCCCACCACCTAGGTATTCAGCCCAGCATCCATTAACTATTCTTCCTGATGCTCTCCCTCCCCCTATCTGCCCGCTCCAACAGGCCCCAGTGTGTGTGGTTCCCAGCAATGTGTCCATGAGTTCTCATCATTCAGCTCCCACTTATAAGTGGGAACATGTGGTGCTTGGTTTTCTGTTCCTGCATTAGTTTGCTGAAGATAATGGTTTCCAACACCATCTGGGTCCCTGCATAGGACATGATCTCATTCCTTTTTATGGCTGCATAGTATTCCATGGTGTACATGTACCACATTTTCTTTATCTAGTCTATCATTGATGGGCATTTAGGTTGATGCTATATCTTTGCTATTGTGAATAGTGTTGCGAAAACATTGCAAATTTAATTAATTAATTTATTTATTTATTTATTTTTGAGATGCAGTCTCGCTCTGTTGCCCAGGCTGGAGTGTGGTGGTGCAATCTCAGCTCACTCCAACTTCCACCTCCTGGATCCTGGATTCAAGTGATTCTCCTGCCTCAACCTCGCAAGCAGCTGAGATTACAGGCACGTGCCACCATGCCCAGCTAATTTTTGTATTTTTAGTAGAGATGTGGTTTCACCATGTTAGCCAGGCTGGTATTGAACCCCTGACTTCAAGTGATCTGCCTGTCTCGGCCTCCCAAAGTGCTGGGATTACAGGCGTGAGCCACCGCGCCCAGACACATCGCAGGTTTTAAATGCTAAAATAAGGGCCTCAATACTTTGAATCTCTTATGATGACACTGTTTTTATCAAAGGAGTTTGTGCCCTTTCCATTATCATACATGTTACATATTACTGAATCATAATCAAGGCTTTACATACCTTGTTATTTGTTAGTGGTCTCTGTCAGCTAGAGGGCTAGAGCTCCACAAGGGTAGGGATTTCTGTCTTTTGGTTCAGTTATATATAACAAGCACCTGGAACAATGGCTGGCACATACTAGGCACTTAACATTTATTTAATGGATGGATGGATGGGTAGATGGATGGATGATTGGATGGAGCCATATTCCCTACTAGATTACTAGATTGTAAACATCCCAAATAAACATTCTAAGAAAAGTAATACATGTACTTTGTTAAATACAATTCAAACAACCTATAAGAAGAGTATGAGACTCATTAGGGAAATTTGAATAGTGAATAATTGATGCTTTTCATAAAATATTGCTTGTTTGTTTAGGTGTAGAATGTATTGCAGTTATGGTTTACATATTGAACTACTTAAAGACACAATGATGGCTGGCGTTTGTTGCAAAACAATCTTGAGGCAGGGGAAGGGCAGTGAGAGAGATATGGATGAAACATAATCTGCTGTGAGTTGATCATTGTTTTGGGGTAGTGAGTGCATGGAAGTTTATTACCCTGTCATCTCTACTTTTGCTTAATATACTTCAAAATACTTAATTGTATTTTTTTCATAATAAAAACTGAAATATTCAAGCATTACAGAATGGCATAGAGTCAAAAGCAAGACTGTCCCATCTCTGAATTCTTACCCCTACATCATCTCATTTCCAGGTCATTCGTTTAAAAAAAAAAAAAAAAAAATCTTAACTACAAGCACCTAAAACATACCAAGCTCTATTGTAGTCACTGGAGCTATAGTTGTAAGCAAGTGCTCACATGACAGTGTAGAAACAGATAATAAATAAGCTGATAAATATATAAGACAATTTCAGAGAGTGATAAGTACTCTAAGAAAACAAACTAGTTCTCTCCAAAGCAACCAGTGTTTCCAAGTAGTCTAGGCATTTAGCCACACATGCGTGCGTATGCAATGCATGTGTGTGTGTGCGTGTGCACATGCGTGTGTGTGCGTGCACAATGCGTGTGTGCGTGTGTGTGTGCAATGCGTGTGTGTGCGTGTGCACATGTGTGAGTGTGTAATGTGTATGCGTGCATGCGTGTGCACATGTGCGTGCTCATGCATGTATCACATACCATTTTATTGCTCAGATGGGAGCATCCATGCTGTTCTATACTTTGCTTCTTTCCTTGAATAATACATCCTACAGATAAGTCTATACCCAGACTGTGACCTTTCAAGAGCAAGGGCCACATGAACTCACTTCACATCTCCAGTGCCTGTCAGACCCACAGCAGAAGCCTGATAAATTTAATGCCTGATTGAAAGTCTTTCCAATCAAAAATTGGTTAAACAACAAATACTCTGCCTTCTCACCCTCTCTGTACCTTGCCTCTCCTACTCCAAAGGTGGGATCCAAGGGAGGTTTGCAGAGTTGTGTGGTGCCTGGCATATGGAGAGCTTTCAATCAGTGTTTGCTAGAGGAATTCAGAGTGGGATGAGAATTACAGCAAGGCAAAGACTGTCAGACAAACTTCTCCTTAATGAGAGCTGGGCATCTGGTGTGCTGCGCCAGGAAGAAAATGTGTGCCAGGTCCCCAGTGTGGACAGGTGTTCTCTGGCATTTGGAAGCAAAGCTAAAGCACAGTTTATGGTGCATGCCGCATGGTCTAGGTTGGTTTTGGTTTTTTGCTTTTTGTTTTTGTTTGTTTCCTTCACCTGCTCTAGCTGCTACAGCCTTTGATAATGCTGTATGCTTGCCCTAAGAATCACCTTTAATTCTCAGCAGATCTCAGAGAGCTGAACATGGAATCACTGGGCAATCACTTACCTCATGGTTTATTTCCTGAAGAGCTTGACTCTTATAAGATCCAAGATGTCATGTTAATTTTTTTAAATGTATTATTAGTAGTCATAATGATTCTGTTGTTGTTTTTCTGGAAAACATTAATAGCAAAAAGGTCACATGAGTTAAGTGGTCACCCAGACCATTTGAACCCCAAACCTTGCTTAATCTTGAATGGCCTGAGAAAGGTTAGAGGTATTTGACTATGTTCTTAAAAATAAAATACCTGAGTTATTGATAAATACAAAAAAATTGGAAGAACAACCAATTTAACCAACTGTAAATTGGAACTTATTTACATATTTCCTAGCATTACTCATTTTGGGATAATGCCTATTTGTGTAAAGAGAGCTGAAGAACCTGAGGATATTCTTCCTGCTACTACATCCAGGTCAATGTGTGATACTCCCTTTGCTAATCATATTTATTTAAAAGATTGGAAGATTATTCCAACAAATTGATCTAAAGACCCCTTTTTCACAGCCCAAGATACTTGTAAAACTCTCCTTTTAAAATATCACTAAAAGATCTCATTTGACATAACAATAGTGTTAGGTGGAGTGGGAGCTCAGGCCTATCCATGATGGTTGTGTGTGCTAGGTGAGTTATATCAGTTTGTGTGAAGAGAGGGAAGTGAATACGAGCACACAGAACATAGCAACAGAGGCTGGAGAATGCCTGCAAGTTTGAAAGAGGAAAGGAAGATACCAAAGACATTTTCCATCAAGTTAACCATCAAAATCATCATAGAAACAAAGACTGGCCAAAATGCTTGAGGTCTGTACATGTAAACACATGTCTTAGTCAGCTGGGGCTGCTATAGCAAAATATCACAGGCTGGGTGGCTTATACAACAGATATTTATTTTTTGAGATCAAGGTGCCAGCATGGTTGGGTTTTGGTGATGGCCCTCTTCCAGGCTTGCAGACAGCCACCTTCTTGCTGTGTGCTGATGTAGCCTTTCCACGGTGCCTTATTGTGGAGAGAGAGAGATCCATCTCTCTCTGACGTCCTCTTCTTATGAGGGCACTAATTCCATCATGAAGGCACCACTCTTGTGACCTCATCTAACCCTAACTACCTCCCAAAGGACTTTTAATACCATCACACTGAGGGATCAGGGCTTCAACACATGAATTTGGTGGAAGGGACACAAATATTTAGCCCAAAATAACACTAGAGTAATTTTAGCACTTTACACATGCATTTCATTTGGTTTTTGTGAGAATCTATGTATATCAGGAAGCCCTGTACAAGTTTGCTTTGGATTGATTATTCACTTGACATTCAAGAAATATTTCTTATCATTTACTCTGTGCCTGGTGCAGTCGTAGGCCTTGGGGAATTCAGCAGGAAAAAACAGACACAGTCCCTGTCCTCAAGGAGCTCACAGTTTAATGGGAGAAAAGGAGAGACAATGAATAAACAAACAAAGAAAAAAGTAAATACAAATAAATCAATCACTTGTGATTTGGCTTTGAAGGACAAATACAGATGTAGTCCTAGAGAAAAGGACGGGGAAGAGGTGATTAGGAAAGGCCTCTTTGAAAAGGCAACGTTGAAGCTGATACCTGAAAGATAAGAAGCCTGCCCTGTGGAAAATGGAAGAGGGTTTCAGCAGATGGAACAGCAGGTGTGAAGACCTCCAGGCAGAAGAGAGGCTGGCATGTTCTAGGGACCAAAAGAAGCTTCTGTGTCTGGAACGCAGTCTATGATGGGAAGAGAACAGCGTGAGGTTGGGGGGACTGGGAGTACAAGATTGCAGGGGGCCTTGTTAGCCAAGGTAAGGCCTTCATTTTATTCTAAGGATGATGGGAGCTGTTATAGAGCTTAAGCTGGGGAAAGAGGTGGTTTGGTTCATGGGATTTGTTCACTGTTATGAGAAGCAGTCAGTAGATGAAGGTAAAGAAGGCAGGAAGAGACAAAGACAAAGCCAGAACCAATTCAGATATTTTGAGTAAATCAGTTTTCTTCTAGCCTTCGTGGTCCTAGAAAACTATATGTAGACTTAGTGTTGTTTGAAAATCATTTTTTAGGTGATGAAGGGACTGTGCATTCAGCAGACATTTGTTGAGTGTCTACCCAGATGTGTTATGTGGTGGTGGCACAAAGATTGAATAAGACAAAAACCCTGGCCACCAAGAGCACTCAGGCCAGTCAAGGATACTGACAAGCACACCAAAGACACTCAAAGAACACATGAAGAGCTCTGAGAAGCATAGTTAAGGAGGAGGAGGAGGACTCTGAAGATCGAGCCCTGCCGGGGAGGGCAGGCAGCAGGAAAGGCCTTGTGCAAAACACAAGTGCTGCATGAGCAGATTCCTTATGGAATAAGGACGACTTTTCCCAGGTGGATGGAGTTAGAAAAAAAGCAGGCAGGGGGAACAGCACACACAAACTTTCGGAGATGAGTGAGCCACGAGTCTGAAAGCCACTGTGACAGCTCGTGTGGCCAGAGCGCTGGGCCACAAAGGGGAGTGACAATGAGGATCTTCTCTACCAATAAGAGGGGAAGAGGGAAGAAAGCTAAGATGAATTTCTTTAGAAGACGTGTGAAGAACAATTTGGAAGAAGAATAAAGGCAAAGTAGAATCTGATGCAACAGCCCAGGCAACAATGCATTAGTCACATCTAAGGCAAGATGATAAGCCTCAAAAAGGTAAGACCACGTGACAGTCTTCATTGTATTCCCTTGACCATCAGGTACAAAACCAAACACATCATATTTTCTTAAATTACTATTAAATTGCATTGAGTAAATATAGCACCCTCACAGTGAGGGATCAGGACTTCAACATATGAATGAATTAGAATTTGTATATTCTAATATACAAAATGTCCAGTTCCAGATTCAGGATAAGATATTACACTACCAGAGAGAGGCAAAGCACTAGGTGCTATTTTTACATATTTATAAGGCCCAAACAGGTTAATGCATATTCTTGACATCACAGATTTATTTCTATGTTAATTTACTTTCAGAAAGCATATGTAACCATAATATACATGGGGGAAAAGTAATTTTATTCATGTGTTTGGACATAAAAAATATCATTATGCAGTCTAATAATCCCAGTTGACAGTTAGAATCATTTAAAAAAAAAAAAACAGATATATTAAGAAAATTCAAGAAAAGCAACAACTACACTATGGTCTGGCTCCTCTGTTTTGTTGGGTGGCACTGATTTACACCAGCAGGCACAGTCATTTACAAGTCCATTTTGTGATCAATGCCTAGCCTATTTGCCTATATACGGCATTATGAAAAGTACAAGCAGGCCTACTAAAGAATTCCAACTGCCTAGACTTTTGCAGGCAAGCGAAAAAGAAGGATTTTTGTTGTAACCTGTTACGTTTACATTTTTTCTATTCTATGGTGACAGCACAGGTTTGGGGTCCCTGGTTAGATACCAACGTACTATACATACCATTTAAAAATTCAAATGGGGTTAGTTTAGATGTTGGTTCAGATCTTTTCCAAAATAGGAAAGGGCACTTTTATTCCTTTTGGATGATTCAAATCTTTTCCAGAATAGAAAAGGGCATTTTTAGTCAGTTTGGATAACTTTGAGTTTTTCTAGATAAATTTAATCTGTAAGGGATGAAAGTCGATCGGGAATTATCTCTGCCAATGACTTGGTCCAGCCAGTGGACGGTAAGTCTTGCTGCTTCTCCATATAACTTAATTCCCACATTTCCCTCCACTTCCACTGAATGAAAAGAGAAGATGTTTCCACCATAGGAAGCCACAGATAATTGAGAGAACTTTCTAAGATAGTTTTTCCTTTCTTCTTTTTATCCTCACTTTCTCTCCCCACTCAGAGTTTAAATAAATGATACATCTCTGGCTTTCCTTGCAGCCCACCTCCCCGCCCCTCCTTTTGGATAAGCCTCAGCTTCGTGGCCTGGCATGCCGGAGAAACTGGTTCTACACACCCAGGGGGAAAATGACAGCTTTTCACCGCAAGCTGCTCAGCTCATAAATAGCGAGGGATAGCGTCCACACACGTCCCGACCTGCCTCTTTCCAAACGCCTGTACAGCCAGCATGGCAGGAGTCTTCAGGGAACATTAACAGCTCTTTACATAACTTTCTGTAAAGTAGCTTAGTAATGTTTGCAGCCTAAACAGCCCACAGGTGAGAGCTCTGCCATTCTAATGCCTACAAGTGAATGACCAGCTCACCTGGGCGGTTCTTTCTTCTTCCAGAGTGGCCCCGGGAGACAGGGAGAGGGAGAAAAGCACAGAGCTGAGTGGAGAGAGAAGTTAGCTTATTAAAGAATGAAATGTCCACAAACCTGGCAAAGGGCCTATGATTTTACGCCTTGAGGTAAGAAAGTCAACTGCTTTTCCTGGAACTTGGTCTAAATTTCACACCCGCTTTTGCAAATGTCTGCTGTATGATGAGTTGTGTGAGCTCATGGTGGAAAGTGACAAAGTAGGTACACAGCTGATATAATTTATTTATAAATGCATGAGTGCCGAAAGGAGGTAAAATCACGCAGAGTTGATTTAGCTGTTGTGTTGTTCATGGAAAATATGTTGCATACCAACAAAACACACAGATGCACATCTAAATTATTTTAAAGATCACATTTAAACCTGGAAAATAACAGTGACTTTTTAACTTTATCACATCATAGTTCAGGCTTTAACAAAATGAATCTATGATTATTTCCTCTTGAGACTATAAGAGAAATAATGAATATTAAAATGAAGGTACTTAGTTGTCCTTTTGTATTTAAAACTACCAGGAAAGGAAAAAAAAAAAAAAGCAGTTTAGGTTAAGTTTAAGGAAGGAAAGAAAAAGGGGAAAAAATAGATTGTCATTTTCAGATTATTATTTCATTTTAATAAGATTTTTAGGTGGTGATTGTTTTTTGCTTGTTTGTTTGTTATGCAAGCTCAACAGTATAACAACAGAACTTAAAGATCTTCAGGTTTGAGAGGAATTATTAAGGGCTAGACCGGTTTATGTATTGCTTTTAATATACATTTCACAGCGTTTACTGCAGAAATCTCTTTGGGGAAATTAGTAATGGAACAATTTCTATATTTAAGAACCATAAGCCTCCATGTATGTTGAATTAAC